GGCCGCACTGGAGAGGACCCCCAGGGGCATCCAGCTGGCCGCGCCACCCATCGCGTAAAAAATGCAGCATGGCACGCCGCCCGCGCCTCATCCCCCCCACCCCTGGGGGCCATCGCGCGACCCTTCGCCATTTTTTTGACCGCGACCGCGGCGAAAGAGGTCGGGCGGCGTCCAGGAACGATGCACTCAGGCAACGGCCGAAACTCGCGCACAGGGAGGAGGAGGGGCGAAAAGTGACAAGAACAAGCGGGGAGAGGGCCAGAAAACAGGGGCGCGGCCGCGGACATCGCAGACGAGAGGACGCGCAGACCACACTCCCGCGCAAGGCGGCCTGCAGCCAGAGAACAAGGGCGCGGCCGCGGACATCGCAGAGCAAAAGAAACGACACTGCCGCCACTACAAGAAAAAAAAACAACATAAACCCAAACTTTTGGCGCTCCGCGCGGTTTTCGTGGATCTGCGCCGGACCCCCCCCTCCCTGGCGCGCAGAGCGCGCCAAGGGTGGCGCCGGAGGCGCCGCCGGTGGGCCCAGCGCGGATCCAAGCAACCCGCGCGGAGCGCCAAAAGTTTATGTTTACGTCGTTTTTTCTTCTTCAATCCTCCTCGTCCTCCTCGTCCTCCCTCTCGTCGTCGAGCTCGCCGGTGCTGCCCTGGCGCTTGGGCAGCTGAGCCTTCGAGCGCTTCGGCAAATGGAATTCTGCTCGTCTTCGAGCCACGGCCGAGGACCAGAGAGCCCAGGGCGCGGCCGCGGACACGACAGGCGAGAGGACACGCAGACCACCCTCCCGCGGCGGAGCGACCTGAGGCACCGCGGCGCGGCGGCGGCCACCGATCGGCGCCCCGAACACAGGATGCGCAGGGCGCTCCTCCTTCCTCCTCCTGCTCCTCCTCCTCCTCCTCGAAGTCCTCCTCCTCCTCCTCCTCCTCCTCCTCGAAGTCCTCCTCCTCCTCCTCCTCCTCCTCCTCCTCCTCCCTCCTGCTCCCTCCTTCTCCTCCTCACTCAATCCGAGCCACCTCCTCCTCCTCCTCCTCCTCCTAGCCATTCCTCCTCCTCCTAGCCTCCTCCTCCTCCGAGCCTTCCTCCTCCTCCTCCTCCTCCTAGCCTCCTCCTCCTCCCTCCTCGAGCCTCAGCCTGCCTCGAGCCTCCTCCACCTTCCTCCTCCTCCCTCCTACCTCCTCCCCTGCTCTAGCCTCCTCCTTGGGCCTCACCGCCGCGGTAGAACGAGGCCCTACGTCGCATCGACGCGCATCCCACCCTTACCTACTTCCGCAGGGGGAGGGCACGTGGCCACTCCATGGGCTAGCCCTGCGGGAGACGACCAGTAACCCTCGCTGTTGCCCATAGGCCACCGCGCATGAAGAGAACACCAGGGCCACCAGGCGGCTTCTCCAGTCTGGGGCATACAGGAGCGCTCCACGCACGCACGCGCGCGTGGGGCGCTCTGTAAAGCCCAGAGAAACAGGTACGCCAACCAATCTGACCAAATTAGAAATCCAGTCGGCAACCGCTGGTGCAACACTTTAGTATCCAGGCCAACACGGCGACTTCTCTATTCTGCGCAGTACGGGATCGCTCCACGCGCGCACGCGCGCTGGTGACCATGGTCACCCGCGCGCGTCCGCCCGCGCGCTGGGCGCTCTGTGCAAGTCCATCGTGAAGATTGTCAACAGCAAACATTTTTCATTGGTGAATCCTGCGACGAGGGCCCGCGAGGCCTGACCCGCGCGGCTTCGATGCGGCTTTTGTGCGGCTACGCTGGCGCCTTCGTTGGAGCTCCCTATTGGGCCACGAAGCGCGTGAGGCGTGTTCCGAAATGGGGCAGGACACCATGTGAACCCAGCCACGGGTGCCTTCCGCGGAGCTTTCTGTGGGGCCACGAAACGTGTGAGGGATGTGCCGGAATTGGACCAGTCACATGTGAACCCAGCCACTGGGGCCTTCAGCACGCCTCCCTGTGGGGCCACAAGACGTGTGAGGGGTGTACCAGAATGGGGCGGATCACTGTGAACCCAGCAACTGGCTCCTTCGGGTAGAGTTCCCTGTGGGGCCGCGAAACGTGCGAGGGGTATGCCGAAATGGGGCGGGTCACCATGTGAACCCAGCCACTAGGCGAGACGAGGCGAGGCGAAGCGAGGCGCCGGTCAGTCGTCCCGGCGGGGACGGCCCTACGAGAGCCCGGCGGTGGCGCCGGAGCGCCGAGAAAGAACCTTAGTCGAGGGGGAAGGAGGGAGGAGGAAGGACTCAGACCGTGAAGTGGGAGTTTCGCACACAACCCAGCCACTGGGGCCTTCGGTGGAGCCCCCCTTGAGGGCCACGAAGCGCGTGAGGGATGTGCCGAAGTAAAACGAGCCACCATGCGCACCCGGCCACTGGCACCTTCGGTGGGGCCCCCCGTGGGGCCACGGAACGTGTGGGAGGTGTGCCGAAACGGGGCGGCGATGATGCTGTCGACGACGATGAGGATGATGCTGATCACAAGGATAAGGAGGAAGAGGAGAGGATGAATGGAGGGGAGGAGGAAAGAAAGGAAGGAGGAGACGCGCGGCGCTGCGAATTCAAAACGAGGGCCCAACGCACGGGATGGCTGGGGAAACAACACGCTTACTCACCCGAATTGAATTCTGAGCGTCAGCAAAAGGTCCGGGGCCAGGGGGCTGGGCCCTGGACCAGGGCCAGGGGAGTCTTGGGCGACGTCCAGGGCGGGGGGGGGCTGGCATGCTGCCTACTTTGTGTAGGCCCGCCATCCCTTTCACAAGACAGTGCAGGGTCCACTCTGCCAGGGACGGCCGGGAGGGGGAGGGCGGCATGCTGCCCAGCATGTGCAGGCCAACCATCCATGCCAAGAGCAAGTGCAAAGTGAGTGCGGGCGCACACCCTCGCAAGGCATACGATACGATACGATACGACCACCGCTGCGGCCATCGTCCGGGCCTAGCTAAGACCAGGTGGGCAAGGCTGAAAAGAAGAAGAAGAAGAAGAAGGAAGAAGAAGAAGGAAGAAGAAGAAGGAGGAAGAAGAAGTCCTTGGTGACAGCGTTGGTGCGACAGTTCTCGCAAACCCGCCGTCACTTTGCATGGCTTTTGACACGGACATTGGGGAGGTCGATGTGTTACCCAATGTGGCGCACCTGGTGCGCGTGGCGCACCCAGTATGTGCGGCGCACCTCGCGGGCTTCGCGCACCTGGCAGGCGTCTGCATTGGTTCCCGGTGGTTGTCGATGGCGGCCCCTGCCTATGCTGAGACTCGGGTGCTACTTGCGTTTTGGGAGGGTGGATGGAAGTGAGCGACTTATGACAGTTTGCGGCGTTCTCGCTGGGAACTTGATCACCCTCCCCTACATGGACAGGGTTTCGCTGGTAGTTCGAGCACCCAAGATGACCCAAGATGGCTCCAAGAGGGCAGCAGAGAGCTCAAGATGACCTCCAAGATGGCTTCCAACATACTCCAAGAGGTCACAACACCGTCCAAGAACTGCCCGCCAGGGGCCCGAGCACTACCAAAGCATCAAGAAATTCAACGTGGTTTGCCTTATTGTTTCGCTTCCGATTGCCTTCCGAAGCCTCAAGGTGGCTCCAAGATGGCCCAAGAGGGCCTCAAGAGGGCCCCAAGAGGGACCCAAGAGGGCCCCAGTTGCGCCCAAGAGCGCCCAAAGACGGCGCCAAGAGGCAATGTTTGGGGTTCCAAAGGGGGGACGCTAATTCCCCCCCTTCTTTGATCGAACTCCTCCAAGATGGTCCCAAGAGCCTGACATCTTCTGGGAGGCGCAGCAGTCTAGCGTCTAAGTCGAGCGCCCTCGCAAGGAACTCCGCCACCAACTGCATCGCAGTATGCTTGCATCATGCGTGCGCGTCACTGTGCACACATGGAATTCGCTTAGATGTAGCCTCCCGCGCAGCGTGGGGGACATGACGATGGTGCTAATTATGATGGCGATATTAATGAGCGAGCGAACGAGCATGCATAACCTGGGCTCGGTCGTAGCAGGAGGCGGCAGCGGGGCGCTGGTGGCGCTTCGCTGCCCAAGAAGCTTGAAGGTACTGTTCGTCAAACTTGTTCGTTGAGGCGACAGTGATGATGAAGATGATGCTGATAATGCTGCTGATGATGACGACGATGATGATGATGATGAGGATGATGATGATAATGATAACGATACTGATACTGATAATGATGATGATGATGTTGTTGTTGATGGTGGTACTGATGCTGATGCTGATGCTGATGGTAATGGTAATGGTGATGGTGATGGTGATGGTGATGGTGATGGTGATGGTGATGGTGATGGTGATGATGATGATGATGATGATGATGATGATGATGATGATGATGATGATGATGATGATGGTAATAAACTCCGCTTGCGGTGCGCTAGTGGCACAGCCGGAAACCCTCGCCTCCAGAGCAATCCAAAGAAGCTTGACGATACAAAAGACGCTGCCACCACTGCATCGCCCCTCCTCCCTCACCCGTCCCCTCCCCCTTCTGCCCCCGCACTCCCTTGCACTCTCTTCCCCCCACCCACCCGGTTCCGTAACCAATTCCTCCTGCTTCTGCTGCGGCTGCTGCTGCTACTCCTCCGTTTTCTTTCCCTCCGACTCCACCTCCGACTCTACGTGCCCCTCGTCCGTACCCATTTCCTCCTCCTCCTCCTCCTCCTCCTCCTCCTCCTCTTACTCCTCCTGCTCCTCCTCCTTCTCCTTCGCTTTCCTTCTAGCGCCGCACCGAGCGAAACATTTTCTCGGCGCAAGCCAAGAAACGTCCCCCTGGAAACCTGGAACCTCTCATCAGAGGTCGCACTTCCGAAGATTGCGCGCTCGTCCCCCGGCAGGCTGAAAAATCTGATGCCTTCTCCCACTAGCTCTAGAAACCTCCCGCAGCCACCATGGTAGACCAGTCATGGCCGCGCTGGGTCCGCCTTCGGACAATCGATTTAAACGCACATGCAAAGATAAATCAACAACGCCCCCTGCCTCAAGACTAGAGTGACGCGGCAAACCCG